CTGCTGTCAAAAGGTTAGCCAGATTCTTGATTGAATGATACTAGAGGCTCTGTGTTAATTAATGGTGAGAAAATGCCAGATCCTTTGATTGAAGGAAGTAGGTTGGTATGTACTTGTCTCATAGAAGATTTGAAACAATTTTGTTAGATTCCCTGCATTCTGCTTCGTATTTGGATAATTTTTCCTTTCATCATCCCCAATTACATGAACAAATGTCCAGGAGGTACATCAATAGCAAATTATAGAACAGCAAATGTACTTTGTGTGCTTATCACAAGAAGAGTGATACCATGAGAAAGAAGAAGAAAACTGTTCCCCAGAATGTGACCAATTCTTACCCATATGGGAGTTAACATTTTAGATTCTTTAGAGGAGTTATCTGACCTGGAAAATGCTCCAGCTATGCTGAGTCATAAGAAAGAGGCCCTTTAAATCATAAGCAGCTGGATTTCAGTGCATGACCCTGGTGCTGACTGGCTTCACACTGGCAGCAGTTCAGGTCGTCAGAGCACAGGTGATGCCTGTTGGCTTGGAGCATGGCCTTTGCATGGCACTGGGGAGGGTGATCTGTGTTCAATTCAGAAGTTGTGTTTTGCTGAGGCACTCTAAATACACAGTAAAAGACTTGTGTTCACTGTAGCAATAGCTTGGGCTGTCTGTCTGTCACTGTGGCTGCTGTAAAAGTCTGACTGGAGTGGGGTGAGTATTGTGAGGCTGCTGCAGAAGGAAGGTAGGAAACAGCCTAGGGAAATAGAGCTGTGTCAAATAACAAACTGTGAAGGAACTGGTGCTTACTTAGGAGCCTGATAGTTTTTCTAGCAAGTTATCATCGCTTATCCCTAAATCATGATATCCTAAGGCTGTTTGTTTTCAACTGCTTTGTGCTTTTTTTCAAGAGAACTCATTAGTGTGTCAGATTATGTCTGAATACAGAATGAGAGACTTTTGAAACAGTAAGGCTGTGGTGGGGAAAAAATAAGCCTTCAGGCTCTTAGGCTGCATTGACACTTCGAAGCAGAAGCTAACTCCATCAAGGCAGTTTTCTTCTTCGTTTGGTCCTGTGAGTAGCTCAACATTGACCTGGGCAGCATATCATGTTCTCCTTTATCTGATAAAGATCACTGTGTAACTAACTGCAGAGACCAAATCTTTCACAAGTGTCTTCTCTGCTCTTCTGCAGCACTTCTGGTGGGACAGCATACTCCTTGTGCCTATGACCAAGAGAGAATAAAAATATTTGTCTTTAAAAATCTTAGGGACAAACCTCATGACAAGTGTTGAAATCACAGCAACTTGATTATTGTTGAAAGTGTGTTACTTTCGAATGAGGTGAATATAAGCATAGGAGAAAACAGCACTTCAGGCAGTCTCCAAGCAGTCTGGCTGCTAAACAGCCTCTGGCCATGTTCAGCAGGCTCCTATGGGAGGCACATGCGTTGCCAGGTGCCCCTGGGTAAAGAAATGTCTTTCCAGCTTGTCATCCAGCACCTGTGACTTCCAGCGATGCCCCAGGTAATGAGCCTGGTGTGAGCCCCCCTCAGTCTCTGCTCAGCACGGTATCTATCCATTGGCACCTGCAGAAACAAACCCAGTTTGTTCATAGAATGAAATCCTAGAACATCAGGTAAAGGCAAAGCAACCCCTTAGTGTGCTGCATTGTCAGACCTGGTACCTTGCAAAGTTAGGTCTGTCTGTGTGGCTCAGGAATTGTGCCTTGGGAAACCAATGTCATCTGTGTTGTAATGGCTTCACCATGTAAGTGTTGCTGCTCACAGCAACCCAGGGCCCTGGCACATTCCATGGTGTCTGGAAGGAAAAATAATAGACAGCTCTATCCCAGTTCTTCCCATGACAGTTCATGAGGTAGATTCAGTTTCATAGCAGAAGTACTGCTGTCCCTTTAATAATAGGAAGAGTGTTTGCAGTGCATTTAATTGTTTCAATTTAAAGTGGCTTTGTGGGAGGTGAAGTGAGAGTTATACTGTTAAATATATGTTGATACAATAACAGCACTAACTTTTTGTTCTGCTTCCCCTTGAGCAAGGCTGGAAATCAGAGTGCCACACATCTGTCAAACTGTTCTGAGAATTAAAGAAACTTCTCATAGAGGACTGGGAATTTGACTAAAGGTTGTTTGTGGACTTCTGTCAAGTACAGAGATCATGTAAGATTAGAATCCTTCCTAGCTGAGAATATCTTGTATTGCCTTTCTGTTTAAGAAGGACCATAATGAATAAGTGATCTGATGTCTGACCTCTAAAATAACAATGGCTTTTGTTTTCTGTAAACACATCTGACATTGAAGAGCCAGCAGTTCATTGCCTTCAAGTCTCAAAATCCCCTTGGGCCATTTCAGTTCCTACAGAAAGAGTTCTGACAGTAATCATTATGGTGATTTCTCTCCAAGAACAGTATGGCAAAGTATAACCATTTAAAATGCAGGAGCACATTTAGAAAACATCCAAAGACTGCAAGTAAACTAAGGGAAACAGGGGGAAGCCCTGGTCAGATTGGGTTGCAAAGGGTGCAGGTGGAGATGAGATATGAAGAGAACATTAAGCAAGGAAAGCCTGACCACACTGGCACAGCATGGATGCAGCTACTCCAGCAAGTTTTCTCCATATCTTACAATGCACAAAGTACAGTTTGGTACCAGAAATGAAAAATAATAATATAAGAAAAGCCTAAAGGTAGCAACAAAAGCCTGGAAAACTGAGGAAAAAAGCTGATAAAAAGATTACCAATAATATACCAGAAACTGAAACTTTATTGAGGTCCTTCACAAACTACAAGGCACACACTCAACTGAGATGCAAGGTTTTGGAGGTTGGGCTTTCCCTCTCTCCCACAATCAAATTTCCACCCAAACCAACACTTACCTGGTATATCAAGTTGTTTAGAACTTCGTCAAGCTGATCTCTTTCTGCATTTCATGCTCTACTCATGAATACTCGTGTGTGTGTGCTGAGCTTCAAACATATCATCATGTCTTCTGAAGGACTCCCTTAAGTTTGATGCCCCAAACTCCTACCTCAAAGTTTTCAGCTTTTGTTAGGATTGAGATTCCCTAGAAAGCAAGTACTTTGACCATATTTACAGGTTTGGCAGTACTTTGTCTCATTCTCTAATGATGTTCAGATGACTTAGGTGCTTTAGCACAACAAATTAGTTATTTGTTTCTACCAGAAATTTTCTACTCCCAGGCTAATCCCCAAATAATGTGATTGTACAGGTAGTGTTGGTGCTGCCTTCGCATCAGTCTTGTGACTCTGCACTAGATGAACGTTTTTGAACTGCTGAATTCTCAGTAACAGAATTTTCCACTTATCTATCATTCTGAGCCCTGCTTGTGGTTTTATTCTTGATAACATCCTGTTTAAATCCCTTTGGAGATTCCTGTGTTGTCCTTGTGGGTACACTGTACAAGGAGTTCTTACAAGCACACATGATTTTGATTTGAAATGCTGGCTGCTGACTTGTTACCAAAATGCCTATTTTTTTAATAGGCTAAGCACAGCTGTAGCATCAGTGGAAGGAACCCTGTTTACTTTTAAATGGCACCAGGGAAGTGGTTTGTGCTGACAGTCACATCTTAGAGAGTTTTAAAAATAGCATTGACTGTAAAGCAAAATCAAGCAGGTATTTCTTTAATACAGTTTTAATTTTCTGTAGATGTTTATGTAAAATTGTTTTGTAGGTTGACAGTGTTTGTTGGTTTGGGGTTTTTTTTATAGCAGATTTTTTCAGCTGCCTCCAATTTCACACAGGTGTGATTTGATAGCTGGTTATCAGAGTCACATTAGTGGCAGGTGTGACTGCTGCACCTCTGCTTCAGCCCCTCAGCTGACTTGTTTTAAAGCCGTAGAGGGCTGTGTGGAACCCTTAACTCATGGCTGCAAGAGATCTGGGGAGAGATGTCCTTCCAGCGTGCCAGTGGCTCAGGCTGAGTTGGGAACATAGGCTTGGAGCTTTCAGAGCTGGAACTCCCTCTGCTTGGTTCAGGGAGATCTTCTGCCCCAGCCACGGCCAAATTTCAGCTCTGTTTAGGCTTGTTTCCTGTCAAATCAGTAAGTGCCAAGGCTTCTGAGGTGATCAGGGCAATTTTGTCATAGTCTTTTATTGAAAAATGCTAATTCATTTTACAAACTCAGATCAAATAATTTCAGGTGATGAATTTTAACAGGAAAAGTTTGGAGGTGCTTTTGAAATGTTTGATTTCATGTGGTTCAAGATGCTATATGTGATTAATATCAGTTCTCCCCATTTCCAGGAATATTCAGTCATTTATTTCAAGCTAACCTGAATTTACAAAACCTATTTTCACTATCTGGCCCTAAGCCCTCAAGCAGGGTCATGAAGCCTGTGCCTGTAGCTATGCTTTTTAGTAGTCATATTATCTGGTGGCTGGAGCAGTCCCCTGGTAGGACCAGGCTGGGGTATGTTTTCCTGCTCTCAGATGGAGAAACTTCTGTTTAGCAGGAGGCAGGGTCCCCACTCAGGCTTTGAGAAGAGGGTCCAGGTGCCCCACGTGCTGGGGTGGGAGTCTAAGCTAAGTGTGGAGCTGCTGGGGTTTTTCAGGCACATTCATATGCAAGTTTTTTACATGCCGTTTTGGGCAAACATCAAGGCACCTTGGGACTGGTCACACTGAAACAGATTTGTCTGGCAGTTCAAATTAGTTGTGTTAACTTTGCAACAGGAGGGTCTAAACTGCTTGATCTAGTTATTATAGGTAGGTTAAAAGTGAGAAATGGAATTTCTTTTGCTGCTTTTTATTAAAAGTGTAACTCTTGAAATAGCTCATTTCTGTTGAATCAGGGGATCACCACAGCCATGAGGAAAGTGGTAACACATTGGCAGCATAACAGCCATAGCATGTAATAAATGTTTATGTACCATGAAGTGTACAAACATTTGATTGCTTACATGACAGAGCTTTTTTTTTTTTTGCAGTCATTGGTCTCAATTTTTCCATTACATTTTCTCATTTTCTTTTCTAGCTTTACTCACAGACAAACCTCCAAAGCCATTGTTCCCCATGGAGAACCAGCCAACTGTTATAGATGTCCAGCTGGGTAAGTCCCCTTCTGGGAATAATAGATCCTGAAATTCCACTCTGGTAGCAGATGGGATAAATTGAAAGTGGTAAGAAAGGTTTACTGGTACTGTTATTACATGCAAATCAATTTGCAGCTTCTCATTTATAACCATAGAATTTACTGCCATGGCAATTTAAGGGAATGAACTTGTGTAATATCAGGGGATGGCAGTACTAATTGGTTACAATGGATATTAAATATAAAATGTTGATGCTTTTTTAAATATATGATTGATATAGTAATATATGTTTGCATTGGTGCTGTATTGATTAATTGATGTTCACCCTAAGACAAATGTTCTCGTAAAAGAGGTGCTGATTCCTTTGAAAGTCAATGTAAAGCAGTGCATTTTCAGGTTGTTCTGAATGTTTACTAGAAAGGGCTTTTGACTAAAATGCTTGTATCCTTTTCTCACTCCTGTTATATTTTCTTCTGTGAATGCACATCTCTGGATCTCAGCTAGCAGCCTGTATTTTCCTTCATGTTAGAAACTAATGGTAGAGAGTTCTGCTAACATTGAGGAACAGTGACGCGTCTTGATGCTGAAAGAACTGCTCAGCTTTGAAGTTAGAAGTTTTTTTCAGTGATTTGAAAATAGATTTCTAATTTTGAGAGGCAGAATTGGAGTTGCTGTTGAGGACTGTGGTGCCATGAGCTTAAATTACAAGAGATGTATTGCAGATGGGGATTATTCACTTGGTGCTGAAGCTGTGGAGTTTTTCTTCTTAAGCTTGTCTCTCTTCCTTCTTTTATAACAAAGCTGGCTAGGAGTCAGAGGTAGAATGCTGTTTAAAGGCAAGCAGGGTCAGCATGAAATGTTTCAGTGGGGCTGGTGACATTGTGGTAAAGCTGTGAAACTCTACAGAGGTCTACTTGAGCTGAGTACAAAGGCACATCCTTAAAGCAGGTGCCTATCAATGTCATTGAAGTACTGTAGATGCTATGAAGCATTTAAAAATGGGGTTTGAATTCTTGAATGTGAGAATATAAATGAGAATATGAATCATTTGTGACCTTAGCTAATCTTAAAGATTAGCTTTCTCTCATATACCTGAACTGACTGCAGTCAGGAGTCTGCAAGGGCTTGCACAGGGAAGGAAGACACCAGTGGAACTGGGAAGCAGCCAGTGCCACATTAGTTGTGCAGACAGGTGCATATGTGCCTGTTTAGGTTCCCCTCCACAGGGCTCAAATGTTTATAGCTGTAGCTGAGCAGAAATGATCCCTAAAAGAGGATACAAAATGGTCTGAAGCCACAGTCAAACCCCTACCTGAATTAGCAGCAAAACATCATCATCGAAGTTTGGATGAGCCCAGAAGACTGAATTCAGTTTCCTGGTCCAGCTTCTTCAAAGTCAACTTTCTAATGATTTCCTTTGGGGACACACTACCCCTGCATACATCTGTGTAATAAAGGCACCGAAAGAGTACACATCTTTATTTCCTGTGTTTTCATTTCATCTTCATTTTCTCTTCCAAGTTCCCCTGTTCCCTCAGGACTCTGGTTTTTTGCACTGATTTTTTTTTTTTCTCTGTGAAAACATTTTTTTCTGGTTGATTAAAAGGAGTTTTGATTTTAAAAAAATTAAAACAAACAAATCCCCTCCTCTCCCTGGAGATGTGGCTCAGTAATAGGATTTTGGAATATCTCTAGAGGGAAATATAAATCTTGCATCTTTTATATGCTGGAATGTAATCCATTCGTTGTCCCCTAAGATCAGGGAACTTACATATGGTGGGGGTTTTTTATCTGATATGTTAATGGGTTTGGTTATTGCCACCAAACCATTTTCATATTATGTGTTATATTAATGCTTATGCAAGAGGCTGAACTGACTTATTTTGCAGTGAAGTTCATTGATTTTTCCCCTTGATTTTACTTGGCGAATAGGTAAAGCTAGAAGATTCTCAGGGAACACCTTCATCTTGTGGAGGCCACCTGCAGCTTGGGGCTGGGAGGCTTGTTCTGGCCTCTGCAATGTGGTGCTGACCCTCATGATCTGCAGGAGAGAGAATCATTTGATTGCAGCACAGTAATGGAGGAGAAAGTTGCATGTGAGGTCACCTGCTGGAGTACTTCTTTGAAATCTTGTTAAGCTCTGAGGAGTTTTGAACAATAGATGTTCTTCAGTATTTTATTAGAAATCAAAGCAAAGTTTCTGTGTTTTACAGGCCCTTTAGCACATGGAGTCAAATCACTCAATATGCCTGTTTTTTTTTTCAGTGGTTCTGCAAGTATGAATGTGCCACTAAACTACAAAAGAAACTGAGTTTAATCCATCTTCTTGTTCTGCAGAGATTATTTTAGTTTTCTATTGGAAAACTAATCTTAAAAGAAATAGCTGTCTTTGCTGTATAAGTAGAGGAGATTAATAGTTATTTACTGTCTTTATGCTTAATGATAAGCACAATGCAATGCAAAATCTCACTAGAACTCTAGGCAGTGGCCTAAGTATTTAGCAGCTTATTTGACCTTACTGCAGACTTCAGTATTCACCTTTTAGCTTTCAGCTTTTATAAGAAGATTCAGTGAAAACAAGTATTTACAATTCTTATTGACAGCAGATAAAAGAACTCCTTCAGGCTTCAAACATGGTCCAGAGTCTGCCTTGTTCTTCTTAAGGAGTATGAATGTACTTTTTGCTTTTTCTGTTTTTCTTTGGCATGTGACAGAGATCAAAACCAACCTCGCCAAGGTTAGAGAGAAGCAGAAACTGGAATTTGCTTCTTTCCCATTTTCCATATTTGCTTGTGCTGGAGAAACAGAGTCAGAGACAGGAGGGTTGACAGGAGGACAAAAGAGCATCCCAGAGGACTAGAGATATAGTCAAAAACAGTTTCACTGTCTCAGTTGCTTTACCAAGTCAGATAATCATTTCATGTCTTGGCCAACCTAGGAAATAATGACAATTTTTTTTTTGTTGTCTGCTTACTGCTTCCTTTTCATACAAACAGAACTAGGGGAAAAAGACCCTTTTTATTTGTGTTTTAGCTCTTTGCTTTGGGGTTGGTATAGAAATGGTTCTTGATTGCATTTACATTTAATCTTTATCGTGGTTTTAACAAATAATGTTTATGCTTACTATATAGTATATGTTTTGCAAATATGTGATGTTACTCTGATAATATAATGTTCTTACTGAAAAAAATATCCTTGAGTTGACTTCATGACATTAAAATGAAATATGATAATACAAGCCAAAATACACATAACTCCTATGTCCAGGAGATGATGTGGCTTTAGTAGAAGGCATTCAAGATTGTCTCCTACCTAAAGCTCTCAATGTGAATTTATTAAAGCTTAGTGCTGTTGTGATTTGAAGTAGTTGTTCAAAGGCCCCATTTTTTAGAGAAGGAGCTTGCTGTGGCTTTGACTGACCATATAAACCTAAATGTGTTTGTGGATTGTTCATAACAAATCCCTGAGGTTACAGAATTCATTAAGTGATTTAGAAGAGTGAAGATCGAGACCTTGGTCAGAAGTCTCAAGGCTGTGAGCAGTAAGTTTTAAAGATCTATTATCTATTTTCACATACAGCTATCTGACAGTAAGCGGAGCATGCTGTGCTGTTAAGTCTTCAGGTGACATGTTGGGACATGGCTCTGCTGATTTCTTAATTTATTCTTTAAATTATTTTCCAGCCAACTTTGCTAACTCTTAGTGCTTTGAGAACATGCAAAGAAAGAAAACCAATAATTTGTGTTTTGATTATATGATTACAGAGTAGGTTTCTTCTCTGAACCAGCTCATTTGCACAATTCTGGAAGCCAAAATCTGACTGATACCTGATAGCTGTGAGCTGTTGTGCTGCCAGCTCTCTGCTGGTGTGAAAACAGCATGGGAGAGGCATTTGCAGGAGAAAGGAAGCACAGTTGTGCTCTGCTGATATTTGGCTGGACACGGATCTGTAAGGATCTTGTAAGGAGCTATATCTAGCTAGTCTATGTATAAGCAGCTGCCAGAGTCATCTAGCTTGCACCATGGCTATTATTTTACACTTGTGTGTTCCACAGGGTATCAAAAAAGCTAAAATTACAATATCAAAATAGAAACTGCATCTGTTAATCCTGTTCCATGTAGTACACAGAGTGTAAAGTTAGTCTTCTCCTTATGAATGAGTTAGTTGAGACGGGAATGAATGTTTGCATATTTGGATCTATATTCATTGAATGTATAATTTACGTATCATTTGCTTTTCAGCTATGTACTGGGTTTGTTTTCAGGCATTTACTTAAGAAATGTAGCAGGAGTCTTACAAAACAAAGCAAAAATCATCTATGTTAATTCATTTACTGAACAGGGAAAATGTCAAGAGGTTTAACTTGCTTTTGTCATGGTAGTTTCTCTGCTTCTAAAGATGCTGAGAAAGGAAACACATAGTTTATGAGGATTGTCACTTTTCTAATAGCTGACCTGTTCAGAAAGATTTTGTTTCTAAAAGATTTAACAGTGCAATTCCTTGGGACTCATTATTAAGCAGATCAATAGAGATCAATAGAGCTACTGTAAAACAAGTGCAAGGGAATATACAAAGTTACATCTGCTGACAGGTATGGGAATAGAATAAAAATAGGAAAAAACCTCTTTTTGTTTGAAGCAGTGGCTGTAAGGAGTTATTTAGGAAGTGAAAATTTGTGTATTTACTGACATTTTAAATATATATTTCTTCACTGTCCACAGTGTCTATTTTCACTGAGACCCCACTTCTCTTCTTAAAAATAAATAGTAATTATTTAAAAAAAAAACCTGCAAAATGTTTGAGACATCCATTTCATACCAAGCCTAGTTATTCAAGACAATCCAGCACTGTCTCTCATTACTGATTTGCTCATTAAATCTTGCATTCTTCATATATAAAGATACAGGTATTTGATAAACAGTTGAATAGGGTGGTGATCTTGGACAGAAAGCAATACAGAAATTCTGAACTGTAAAGTGATTCAGATAGAGCAAGTGATTTTAAAGTGAACTTGGG